TGGAATATTTTCTATATCTGTGGAAACATTTTCACTCTGGAATGTAATAGTAGAAATATTGGTTTCTTTCGAATCATCAATACAGGATACTGGCAGTTGTGAAGAGGTATGTGATTCAGTGAGTTCGTGTGGGGAATTTTTTTGGTGAAATATTTCAGGTTGATTCTGTAAGTTTGTGTAGGAGTTATGAATTTCTGAAGTAATGAAAGTATGTTCAGCAGTAGTTCAGCAGCAGTCCAATATTTTGGGTAGCTTTGGTATTGAAATGTGCAATTCTTTAGGTGATATATATTCAGAAATTACATTGATTTTTTTTGAAGAAGCACTAGATAGATTTCCGAGTATATTCCACTTCTTAAAAAAGGATATTGATTCCGTGGTATTCGTTCTATTTTTGTTTGTATGTATTCGTTTACAATATACTTTTATTCTGAATATATTTCGCCTGTTATGCTTCATTCCCAGAAGAAGGCATGTTTCATAAAGAGAAGATTGTTCTTTTGATGGTGACTCGATCAATAAAAGTTGAAAGTCTACTTTTCCATTCTCTACAAGTCGCATTAAATTTCTAAATGATGATATTCGAAGATAATTTTTTCATTTGGCTGCAAGTTATCTGTTCCCAATCGTTTTAGTGCTCGTAACATCACATAACATTTTTGGTATTCCACATTGCCGAAAATAAATTGGGTTGCATCTTGAATTTCCTTGCTGGAGACAGTCACAAGAGGTATATTCAAAGGAGTTTTCAAAGTCTCCACAAATTTTATCAATTTGTCAATATCGAAAGACAACGGGCGTACCATTATGTGAAAATGATGAAAGGATTGACTGAAATGAAAAAATAATTTTTCCAAATCATATTTGCAGGCTCATGTTTCAGATAAGAAATCATTTTCTAATAGAACATTTGAGAAAATATTATTGTTGCCTGCGGTCCTGTCATCAATAACTTTCATTTATTCTATATTTTGCATGGTGTTCAAATTTCAATTTTTTAAATAATCCAACAGAAAACGTGTGAAGAATAGTAACGTCATGACAACATTTATTTATAATTGAATTCCGCCAGAGACGTTGCAACAGAGAGAAACGAGATATCAGGAACGTAATTGAAAGCATTGGAGTACTTTAATAACAGAAACAAACATGTTTTGAAGAAAGTGGACGTCTTCGAGAACCCTGTAAGAATATTTATTTATTTATTCATTATTTTCCGTCAAACATGAAAATAATTGGCAACACTGTGCCAGACATTGTAACAAAAACTTAGAAATAGACGTAAAAGATACGTACCGACGACATCAAAGCTACCGATAGAGAGCCCTATCAGGCTAGCAAGGCGAATCCAGCAAAATCGCAAAAAATACATCAATTTGTATCTAATTAGTTGCTAATTAGTTGCCAAAACAACGAATTTGTTGCTCGTGCCGATCCCTAGAAATCACAAATAATGCTATCGTGATATCAAGATAGCAAGGTAATTCAATAAATTATATACTTTCTTTTTGATCTTTACAGAATATTCAGTTGCTATTTAGTTGCTAAACCTTGGATATAGCGAAACGTTTTTAAATATTTTTTTTTATTTTTTTATGATCTTGCTATCTTGAAACTGTTTCTTCCAGGCATTAAAGATGTTCTAAATTTGTTGCTCACCAAGAATAAACTCAAATACACTTTGAGTAACAGCAACAAAATAGTTGAAACCGATCGGATAATTTTTTTCCTCTTGGCTGGGATTAAATCAATTAGGTGAATGAATGTCATTACGATGTCATCGATGACATAAGCTTATTCCGTGACATTAAATAAAAAATTATGGATAATTATAATTGAGATAATCCGAAATGAATACAATGCATAAGTTTGACAATTAGTAGAATGTTAAAAATATGGTTCGCAGCCGCCTTTGAATGAAATTAATAAACATAAGTTTATCAGAATGCGCATTTACTCAATTTTGGATGCTTTTAGTCCCAATATATGATTCTGAAACTTTTTGTTTGTCAAAATGATGAGGTCTAGAAGGGGATAATTTTTTTTTTCAGAAAGAGCAGTAAGTATAGGTATATATTTAAATAGAAATCCTATTATACAAAGATCATCATCACAATTATGTATATGCAAAATAACATGACACATCTACTTATTTTGCACGCTGATTCTACTTGTGCGTATATTCCGAAGTACAGTTCTATAGCACACAAATATATAAAAATGAGAAAACAAATGTTCAATTTCGCTAATCTAAGCTGATTAAAACCGTTATTCTGATGAGGCATCTACAAGTAGTCAAGAATAATTTTTGTCTAGATTTGAAACGGGTTGGGGATACAGTACGTTTTGAAATTCTTACGGAAAATACAATATGACACAACATAATCTAAAATCAAACACGTACAAATATCGTTCTCGCTTATAATAAACAGTCTATTCTGAGCAAGATATGACTTAAACGCCCCCTAGTATCAAAACATTTTTGGGGTTTATCACCTAATTAATTTCTATTTACAATAACATGAACTTCATCATATTGAAAATGAAAAAAAACAGAGAATTTTCCTGTTTTGTTCCCCTCGGGGAAGGTGAGAAAGTCGTGAAAAAGTACAATTTCCCTAATTCAAGCATATTCAAATATCCGACAATGCATTTCAGAATAATCCATGTATCATTTTTTAGGTGGTAGGGAGAAGAGGGGGGGGATGAACATTTTCTTTATAAAAGAGCACAATCTTATGCAACATTAGCTACAATGAAACGGATGAAAATGTTATTCCTGTTTTTGAAAATGAATCGTCTATTCTGAACAGGGGGTGATTGTAACGCCCCCTATCAACAAAACTATCCATTTCACAATAACATGAACTGTATCATATTGAAAATTCAGAAAAATCCACCGATTTTTTTTGTTTTGTACCCCTTGGGAGAAAGGATAATCATATGAAAAAGTGGTATTTATTATCTAATTCCATTCTTTGCGTTTTATAATAGCTGGGAAAAAGAGGGGGTGAAGATTTTTTTATAAAAGAGCATATTCATTTGCAACATTATCTACAATGAAATGGGTGAAAATGCCATTTCCGGTTTCGAAAATGAATAGTCTATTCTGAAAAAGGGGTGATTTTAACGACCCCTAGCGGCAAATTTGTTCACGTTTTTGGGTTGGCGCAATGGTGACATTGGTTGAGAATTACATACATGGACTACATCATATCGAAAATTCAGAAATTCCAACGAGAAAAAAATCCATAAGAATTTTGCGGCGTCCTTCATGGTTATTAATAGTGTCGAACGCTTTTCCAAATTTAAAATGTAATTCTAATTGTAGATATTGATCTGCTGTTAAATGGACCCGTTGTAGAAAGTTAGAGGTGCCGAATTTATTGGTACCATTCATTCGCCACCAAAGGCAGATACAAGCTAATAAGTAAGATATAATCCTCCTCGACCATATGGGTAAGAAGATATTTATCGTGGAGTTTTCTACTTGGGACTCCACCTAGCTCACGATGTTGAAACGGTTGTTCTGATTATAAGAGTCCTTGTTGCAATTACCTATGTCCTTTATACTCTCGATCAAACCAGTTTGACTCAAAACAGCATAAATTTACGTATACTAAGGGCACACAATTCTCGAACCCAATGATCATTGAACTAAGAGTTTTGGGAAGTGGATCCTAATGGGTCGGAGCTTCAGATACAGGGCCTGACAAGAGTGACAAACAACCACTTTCATTTATGAAACATGATGTAGAAAGTGAAATCGAACAAACATCATCTTACAAGTCTTACTCACAAGTAAATCTGGCTTCATTAGTGCATTGAGATCGACTGGAGATCGCACAATAAAAACAATTTGATCCTCGTAATCCAAAGCCAGTGGTCTGTCCACGATAGCTATCAGTTTAAAATTTATATATCCATATTCACAACTGTATGTTCCTGGCAAGTTATTTGGTAATATTAAATTGAAAGGATGAATGTACTGACCGATGGGTAGAGAGGTTGCTCCCGAATCTGTAAAAATGATTATGCAATTAGAACCTTCGAGAATGCAAAAATACGTATTGAAACTCAATTCATTAAATTTCTTATGGTTAAAATATAAATGGATTCAATATAGCTCTAATATACACTGGAGCATTTTTTTGGTGGAATTATTTTTCTTCAACTAAATTTGAATGAAAATTCGAAATTTGTTCAAAATCCAAAAATGATGTGAAAATCTTCCACAGAAAAGAATAGAGCAATATTAATTTGAAATACACTCTTTACTATAATGTGTAGATCATGCAAAGAAGAGACTTTTCGACACAAACTGAAAGAAAAATCCCTCTCAAAATAATTACTTTCATATTAACATTGAATTACACGAAAAAAACATACTTTCGAAACAATTATTTTTATATGAACATTGAAATATACAAAAAAACCTTTTTTTTATTCAGTTGGTACTCCAAACATTCGTTATGGACTTGTATCAGGCATCATTCACAGAATTGTTACATAATATAGTATATGCAAGAGGTTAAATTTCACTCACATGGAATATTGTAAAAAGTTTATTTCGAAATTAATGGCTTTCTTCCTTTCTTTGGAAGATTTTCACATTATTTTCTGTTCAAAAATCTGTTTAAAATCTGTTTTTCCGTTAATCAGCTGTCGCCCCCATACGAACGACAACTCTCAGAAGTTGAGAAACTTGTGCGAGCTGAGGACTAACGAAGTCTTACCTTTAAACGTGTGATTCCTAACACGGTTGCTAAATCATCCCAGCTTCAACCAGATAAATTCTCTCGAGAAAAATATCTGGTCAAGGCAGGAATCGAACCCAGGGACTTCCGATCGTGAGTCGGGTGCACTACCAACGCGGCTAATTCCACAACAATTTTACATGGAGATAATAATGTTTATTTTCAAAATTGAAAGATACAGAAAGAAAAATGGCTTTCCAACTTTGATAATAGACATGAAACATCACTGAAGCTTTTAAGCTTGTGCTTGATATTGATGATGATATATATATAGTATAGGATACAACAGTAATACATTAACAGTAATATTAGAACAACAATTACATATTTGAATATTTACACAGGTACTATTAAACTAATTCCATAATTATTTTGTTTTTTTTTCTGTTTTTTTTTTATTATTATTGTCAAGGTAGGGTTATGGTGTCTTATTTTGGTAGGTGGGTTGTCATAGTCAGGTATATGTCGTATTTGGGTGATTTGTAGTGTTTCTATCTGTAGTGTTCATCCATTGTTTTACATAGTATTCAAAAGAGGTATAACATTCGATAGATTTGAGGTTTTGTGACAGTAAATTGTATTTTCTTGGTGCAAGATATTCTGCTGAGTGTTAATCGACTGTTTTTTCTCAGGTTGGAACTTTCATGTTTTCATTTTTTATTCGAGTTTCATAACGGTGGTCGATGGGTATTAATTAACTTGATTTAATTTTTACGGATTTACATTAGAATTCGTTGACAAAATATTTGTCTTATATCAAGAACATTGGTCTCTGAAAATAGCTTGTCACTGGGATATCTTATGTTATTCTTCGAAATTATTCTCAGAATCCATTTCTGTATGATACTCAAATTATGTATAATATTTTCTGTTACACCTCCGAAACCTAAGATTCCGAAGTTTTTCATATTCAAGAATTCCACTAAGTACTTGAATTTTGTGAGTAGACCTCTCAATTTATTTTTCACCTGCTCGATATGTGAATCCCTATCATTTATTATTCCTAAATATTTCAAGTGATCTTTTTCTTCTATACGAGAGTTGTCTCCAATGTCCAGGGTTCCCAAGTTTGGAAGGTGATTTGGGTAGGATGTGAAAGGCAAATAATGTTTTTTGAGTATTGACTGTCAGTTTGTTGTATTTGAATCAGTCACATATACTAATCAGGTCTTGTTCTGTTGTTGTTTTCAAATGTTTTCAAATGTTTTCAATGCCGTGTGAAGCGGCTTTAATTAGGCGAACAACTTATATTGTGAATATGATTCCAAGTAACTTCTGCTATTTTTGCAGAGCTTGGAAAGAGCAATATTGATACATCTGGCCAGTAGAAAAAATAATTTTTTCAGGTTCATTTGGGGCCAGAGGTTCAAGTTCTATCACAGGTCAGGTCAGGTCAAAAATGAATGGGTCAATTCGACTCTCCTCCGTAACCCGCAATGGTTTCATCACAACTGATGGTATTGTCTGTTCAGGCTTTAATGTGTCCTTAAAGAACAGACGTCTGGGTTTTCTTAGAATTCTACGGATGAAACAGTGCCTTAAATGATTGGCCTCCACGCAGATTCTCCTGGTTCAACTCCTGAAGTTTTTTTGTAGAATTATTTGAAACATTGACCATTTCGCCATTTTGATTCTTGAAAATGACAATCAGGAAATATATTCTAAATATACCTCTCCAAATGATAAAAACTAATATAAAGTATATTTTGAAATCAAAAATTGTTACATTCATTGGGAGGCGTACCAAAGTGTGACAGATATACTATATATCTTTTATATTATTGATATTTTGATAATGGTACTTGTTACTGCTGTTGAACTATTTGTATTTTTTTTGTTCTATCACAGAAATATCCCAAAACAACATGTTAAAGTAACGGAACTGAAACTAGAAATTTCAATAAATAGATCATTGTACGAAACAAAATGAACTAGAATAAATTATAATGAAACCAAATCATGTATATAAATTTCAACCAGAATTTTTCGGAATAACAGATTGAGCTGTATTTATAACTTCTCAAGAAGAGTCCTTATACCAATATTTATACTTACGTCCTCCATATAATATAAGTTCCGTGGCAAAGGTATCGTTATCTCCTTGGAAGAGGGTATCTCTTGATTTACGTTCATTAGAAACAGGGTCGTGGTAAGATTCCATTCCCATGAACTCGACATGCTCATGACAAATTACCCTGACTTTAACAGCTGAAAATTTTTTGAGTTTATTTTTATATCTTGAGAGTAGTTTCAAAATTACCCCTCAATTTCGTCTCAGTTTCAAAGTTGAGAACAACTTTTCCTTGAATTTGGCTACCTGGATAATACTGTCCTGTATAATTATCCAACCATACTTTACATTGAGCCATAATGATTGAGGAATATGACCTGAAATATGTAAGTAATATGCGAAAATTAAATCATGAGAAATGAAGAGTTTGTTAGTTCATAGTTACGTATTTTATTTTTTACATCCATTGTTTTTACTCTGTTACTTACATAAATCAAATTACTTTTCTGAAATGTCATTTTGTTCACGGGTGTGAAGTAATCCACATCCACAAAGTACACTGAGAAAAAAATATCGCATTATTATTTTTTCATTTACCGACTATGCACACCTACCATTTTTCAATATGATACGCTTATTGACTGAATTAGTGAAAAAACAGAACCGTCCTAGTTTATTAAACTGTCTGAAAGAGTGAAAATAGGGTGGAAATATTAAAAAAAAGCGTAACATGAAAAATCGACTTTATAGACCTACAAAATTGAGATATGTGATTCCCGACAGAAAAATCTTCACGTTATAGTTTTTCAGGCCGTCTGATGGGGTGAACATGATGTAGAAAGTTGAAAAACTCATATATTTGAAAATTGACTTTGTACACCTACAAGATTGAGATATGTTATTCCTGACACCCGATTTGAAGAGAAAAAGTTCACGTTTTAGTTTTCCAGGCCATCTGAGGGGATGAAAATGTAATGGGAATTTGAAAAAAACATATATTTGAAAATTGACTTTGTACACCCACAAGATTGAGATATGTTATTCCTGATACCCGATACGACGAGAAAAACTTCACGCAATAGTTTCCCAGGCCGCCTGAGGGGGTGAAAATGGGGTGGAAACTTGAAAAAATCATATATTCAAAAATTGACTTTGTACACCAACAAGATTGGAAAGTTGAAAAAATCATATATTTGAAAATTGACTTTGTACACTTACAAGATTGAGATATGTTATTCCTGACACCCGATTTGACGAAAAAAAATTCACGTTATAGTTTTTCAGATCATCTGAGGGGGTGAAAATGGGGTGAAAAGTTGAAAAAATCATATATTCAAAATTTAACTTTGTACACCTACAAGATTGAGATATCTTATTCCTGTCACCCGATTTGACGAGAAAAACTTCACGCTATAGTTTTCCAGGCCGTCTGAGGGGGTGAAAATGGGGTGGAAAGTTGAAAAATCGTATCTTCGAAAATTGATAAATTAAATAAATTTGTACATTTGTATTGATCATATTTTTCCAAAAATTCTTTGAATATTCCTAAATATTTCTCAGATGTTTTTATTGAACTACCTCTGGGATCTATGAAAGTGAAATATTTCTTTCTTATTTCTAAGATTATTAAACACCAATGATTTCTATTGACATGTAAAGGGAATATAATACTATATTTATCTGAAAAATTAAATAGACCATCGAAAAAAGATTTTTGGAGTTGATGTGTTAAATTAAAGATTGCATAAGAATTTTCCACTGGAATAAATGTCACATTTACGTCATGGTAAGGTTTGAAGATTATATACAAAGAGCAATTAATGATGGAATCTGTCAACCACGTTGTTCCATTCAAACTTTGAAAATCATAAATTTTCAGTTCAGTACACAATAAATTTGTGAATTTGCAAATAGTGTAATTGCCCAATATAGAACTGGGTCTGTAGTAGTCAATGTCTGCAACTAATCCATTAGAAAGTAGCTTCACGGATGAAATATCAGTTTTGTTCGAAAAATCTGATGATTTTTCGAGATACTGTTTGTTTTCATTCCCATATTTCGATCACTCTCGCCTTTTGATTTCACCTGGGTAGACAGAATCTACTATTTCAGGTAACAGAAAGTTGAAATAAAAATCCTGTAGTTTTGGTAAGATGTTTTTCCAGCATTGTTTACTGAATGCAATTCTTTGTATGAATATTGCATTCTGACTGAAAATAACAAGATCACACCATTTTCTTTTAGTAACAGCCAAATTACCCTGAATTTGGAAATAGTACTGATGACTTTCCTTCAAACATCCATTGTTATTGAAATATTCCAGTTTTTCCTTAAAAATGGCTTCTGTGGGATTCATGTTCCGAATTATGTATGGACATTTGACCTCAATCAGACCATCTTCGTCAACTAAAGCATCGGGTGAAGCTCCTAGATAGGGGTATTCTTGGTGAACCCACAAACCCGTACGATACACTTTTCTATGGGAATGTTGATATTACAGTAACAACTGCGACGTTCTGTATTTCAGAATGAGTTAATGTTAAATTCTGAATAAAATTCTTACACATTGCCTCGAGAGAAATTTTTACTGATAATTTTTTTTCGACGGAGTCGTCCTGGGTACTTCCAGTTAATGTATTTTTTTTTGGCCCATTCTATCAAGAATTTTTTTGATTTCAGTTCCTTGAAAATTATTAGAAGGTGGTTTTAACCGCTTATTCCATTTTTCTTCTTCCAATAAATTTATAAAATCAGACTGGCAACTAATTTTTGTCGATTTTTTTTAGTACAGCGACTCTTCGGTATTTCAAGAGTTAATTCTTTATGTAGAGCAAGAGTTCTCTTTCTTATTTGTCTAATAACTCTACTACACCTTTGGTTAGTTCTTCCCTCTAAAATAATGTTTTTTACTGAAGAAAACCAGTTTTCCATTTCAGCATTGCTCACTCTTCTGTTATCAAGTAGTAATCCACTCCACATGGGCAAATAGGTGATATACCGTCAAAGAAATACTTCTTTGTAGTGCATTGGGTTGGAATACGGGTTAGGGAGTTGGCTGAAATTCATGTCGGCATGAGTTTCATTAATGAAAGCATTATATTCAGTGATAAAATGTCTATAGAATGGACTATTTTCATAAATCGCATCGCTGCCAGGTTCCGACGTGAGAGGTATCGCAGTCGACTCATCTTCCTTGTCTTCCATAATAGTTGACTCATAATAAACCGATTTGTTAAACAAATATTTCAAGGCTGACTTTACTTGATTGTCCATATACTCCTTATTCAAAATGATAGTGAGACACTTAATATACGAAGTGATCAAATCAAATTCGTTTATATTAAACAAAGGAGCTATCACTTTCTTCATAACTGTCTGCGCTTCATTATGATAAAAATGTTTTTTATATCATTTGAGATTATTTGAAAAAAGTGTGAACAACAAATATAAAGCGTTATCCAAGTTTTTGAGTTCACCATCATTATTATTGACTATGTATTTGTAGGTGATTTCTAAGTATTGTATAAGAGAAACGTGATTCCAAAACAATAAAATGGCATTTATTATAGCATAACTGAAATCGGATACGACCCTTGTAAATAGTGACCATTTTTTTTATTATTCAGAATATAATACTTGAATTTAGCCAACCATGTACCAATTGAAAACGTGTCATGTTCAGAGCTATACAATTCCAGAATTGGAAAAATGAGACAATTAAAAGATGTTTTAATAACCCCTGCATAATAAAAAACTTTTTTATGACATGCACTCGGTTTTCGAACTATGCTACCGGTTGCATCCAAATGTAATGTCAATGGATCTTCTGATTTTACATTTTTGCATAAAATTTCCAATTGCTGGCGACAACTTGTATGTAATTTGGATTACTCCTTTGCATCAAGATCATGTCAATAAGATCATCATGATGGTGGTCATGAGCTCCAAATTTTTCGGATCTCACCTTTCTGAATACCGAATCAGATTTGATATTTTGCAAATTTCCAGCTTGAATTAATTTACTTGAGGCGCTTCTGATTGAGGTTTCTCTTAGGTTAGTAGTCTTATATGAACGTACCGTTCTTTTAACCACTTTTCTTTCAATTCCGTTCAGATGCCTACTAAATTTTTCAATGTGATTATAATTTAATAAAGAACTCAAAACAGTAGCATTTTTTGAATGTTATGGATTATCAAAATGAAGACTTTACAATTGTGGGTATAGTAACAGTATGTTTTCAAAACAATCCAAAGATGGAACATACCTTTTGTGTTTAAAATTGATTAAACAAACATTATTGACAGATTTTATTTTATTATTAATCACATATAGTAACAGTATATTTTAAAACAATCCAAAGATGGAACATACCTTTTGTGTTTAAAATTGATTAAACAAACATTATTGACAGATTTTATTTTATTATTAATCACATATGTCCATCTTTCGGAAAATAACTTTTTTTTTTCCATATTAGTAATGGATTTGAGTTCCTCATGAGATATAACAAATTCTCCTTCTTTTATTTTACAAGCACTATATTTCGGTCTTATCCATTTATTATTTTTAATATTAAATGAATTTTCTGGAAGAATTTTAAAACTTTCATATGGCATAACTGAATTTTCAATAATACTTGGAGTATTTTCTATATCTGTTGAAACGTTTTCACTCTGGAATGTTATATTAGAAATATTGGTTTCTTTCGAATCATCAATACATGATACTGGCAGTTGTGAAGAGGTATGTGATTCAGTGAATTCATGTGAGGAATTTTTTTGGTGAAATATTTCAGGGTGGTTTTGTAAGTTTGTGTAGGGGTTATGAATTTCTGAAGTAATGAAAGTATGTTCAGTAGTGCTATTGTCCAATATTTTGGGTAGCTTTGGTATTGAAATGTGCAATTCTTTAGGTAATATATATTCAGAAATTATATTGATTTTTTTTGAAGAAGCACTAGAAAGATTTCCGAGTATATTCGACTTATTACATAAGGATATTGATTCCGTGGTATTCGTTCTATTTTTGTTTGCATGTATTCGTTTACAATATACTTTTATTCTGAATCTATTTCGCCTGTTATTCTTTATTCCCAGGAGAAGGCATATTTCAGAAAGAGAAGATTTTTCTTTTGCTGGTGACTCGTTCAATGAAAGTTGAAAGTCTACTTTTCCATTCTCTACAAGTCGCATTAAATTTCTAAATAATGATATTCGAAGATAATTTTTTTCATTTGGCTGCAAGTCACCTGTTCCCAATCGTTTAAGTGCTCCCAATATCACATAACATTTTTGGTATTCCATGTTGCCGAAAATAAATTGGGTTGCATCTTGAATTTCCTTGCTGGAGACAGTCAGAAGAGGTATATTCAAAGGA